CAGTCATGGTAAACCAGCTAAATTATTTTGAAAACTCTGAACATTTTTCTGCTTTTGGGCAAGAATAGCTGACTCATTTGCAGATAGATTTGTGTGTCCTCTAGGAAAGACAGGTTATAATACATTTTGGATGTAAAATCAAATAAAGTTAAATATTTCTTGATTCAAAAAATTGAAGAGGAGGGAAAGCTCCCAATCTCATTTTATGAGGCCAGCATTACTCTGATTCCAAAATCAGACAGACATTACAAAAAAAAGAAAATCATAGGCCAATATCCCTGATAAACTTAGATGCAAAAATTCTCAACAAAATATTAGCAAACCACATTCAGCAATACATTAAAAAGATCATATACCATGATAAGTGGGATTTATTCCCGGGATGGAAGGTTGGTTCAATATATACAAATCAATTAACATGATGCACCATGTTATGAAGGATAATAAGGATAAAAGTCATATTGTCATATAAATAGATGCAAAAAAAGGATTTGACAAAATTCAGCATCCATTTATAATAAAAACTGTCAGCAAAGTGGGAATAGAGGGAACACACCTCAACATAATAAAGGCCACATATGACAAACCCACAGCTATCTTTATATTCAACAGTGAAAAGCTAAAAGTAGTCCCTTAAGATCAGGAACAAGACAATGATGTCTACTTTCACCACTTTTCTTCAACATACTATTGGAAGTCCTAGCCACAACAATCAGACAAGAAAAAGAAATAAAAGGCATCCAAATTGGAAAGGAAGAAGTAAAACTGTCATTATTTACAGATGACATGATACTATATATAGAGAACTCTAAAGAGTCCCCCCAAAAACTATTAGAAATGATAAATTAATTCAGTAAAGTAGCAGGATACAAAGTTAATATTAAAAAATTGGTTGCATTTTATATACCAATAATGAACTCTCAGAAAGAGAAATTAAGAAAATAATCCCATTTACAATTGCATCAAAAAGAACAAAATACCTAGGAATAAATTTAACCAAGGAGGTATAAGATCTATACTCAGAAAACCATATGATATTGAAGAAGATACAAATAAATGGAAGCATATACCGTGCTCATGGATAGGAACAATTAACATTGTTAAAATGTCCATAGCATCCAAAGCAATCTATAGATTCAATGCAATCCCTCTCAAAATACTAATGACATTTTTCACAGAACTAGAACAAATAATGCTAAAATTTATATGGATCCACAAAAGACCCTGAATAGCCAAAGCAATCTTGAGAAAGCACAAAGTTGGAGGTATCACGCTACCTGATATCAAACTATACTACAAGTCCATAGTAATCAAAACAGCATAATACTGGCATAAAAACAGACACATAGATAAATGGAACAAAATAGAGATCTCAGAAATAAATCAATGCCTATATGGTCATTTAATCTACGATAAAGACAAAAATACACAGTGGTGTAAAGACAGACTATACAATAAATGGTGTTGGGAAAATTGAACAAATACAAGCAAAAAAATAAAACTAGACCACTTTCTTACACCATATACAAGGATAAACTCAAAATGGATTAAAGACTTAAATATAAGACCTGAAACCATAAAACTCCTAGAAGAAAACAGAGGCAGTAAACTCTTTGAAATTGCTCTTAGTAATATTTTTTTGGAAGTGTCTCCTCAAGCAAGGGAAACAAAAGAAAAAATAAGCAGATAGGACTATATCAAACTAAAAAGCTTTTGTATACGGGTGGCTAGGTGGTTCAGTTGGTTAGAGCATGTGCTCTGAATAACAAGGCTGCCGGTTTGATTTCC